CTGAACAGGAGTGTTCCTTTAAATTCAATGTGGTCAGAAAGGAATCCACTTGACTTAGGGTGAGCAGTGGGAGGACAGGACACTGCCACTCCGCCACCTCGATGGATGGCCCAGCTAGCGGAGATATCCCACCTACAGATCCTGATCGCTATGTAATGAGACCATGACTCACCCTAAAACCATTCACAGTGGACATTGGTATTTGTACACATACCCAGAACCCTGACTAACTTTTGAAGGACACCTCCCACCTTTTAATTCTTCTTCTAACTTCTCTTCTTCATTAGTAACTCTCTACACACTACTATTTCTACTCTGTCACTCTGTCTCCCTCTCTTGATCTTCCTCTCACTGAAATTTTCAATCTCTCTCTTTCCTCCGGCACATTTCCCTCACCCTTCAAGCATGCAACCATAATGCCGATTCTGAAAAAGCACAACCTTGACTCCAACTCCCCATCCAACTATCGCCCTATATCGCTACTGCCATTTGCCTCCAAGATCCTTGAGAGAGTTGTATAAGCGAGATTGACAGACTTCCTCGAATCCAACTCTCTGCTTGACCCGCTTCTGTCTTGATTCCGCGTTCGTCACTCTGTTGAAACAGCTGTGATCAAAGTATTCAACAATTTAATCGCTGCTAAATCTGGCGGCTATTACTCAAACCATAATTCTCCTCGATCGTTCTGCTGCCTTTGACACTGTTGCTCATCAACAGCTTCTTCTCATTCTCTGTAATCTAAGTCTACAGGATATTCCTCTCTCCTGGTGCTCCTCCTACCTCTCCCAATGCTTTTTCAGTGTTTCTTTCTCTGGCTTTGCCTTTTCTTCCTAACCCCTCTCCGTTGGCGTTCCCCAAGGTTTTGTCCTTGGTCCTCTACTATTCTCTATCTATACTGCCTCCCTTGGTAAACTCATCAACTCCTTTGACTTCCATTATCATTTATATGCAGATGATACACAACACATATTCTCTTTGACTCCAACCTCTCCTTTAACCCTCATGTCCAGTCGATTGCCAAATCCTGCCGCCTCCATTTCAAAAACATAGCTCGCATCCGCCCTTATTTAACACCAGGCGCAGCTAAGGTGCTGGTCCCTGCTGATGTTCGTTTCGCCTTGACTACTGCAATCCCCTTCTCTGTGGTCTTACGTGTTCCCAGATTGCACCGCTGCAATCTATAATGAATGCGGCGGTGAGGCTCATTTTCCTGTCCACCCGCACCTCGCACGCCTCCCCCCTCTGTCAGTCTCTACATTGGCTTTCAGTTAAATACAGAGCTCAATTTAAGATTCTGGTGCTTGTTTACAAGTCCCTACATAATGCTGCTCCAACTTACCTATCCTCCCTAATTAACAAATATGTCCCGTCAAGGACCCTGCGCTCTACCGAAGACCTACGCCTATGCTCTTTCCGTACTCCCACATCTGATGCTCGCCTCCAATACTTCTCCAGGACTGCACCTTTCCTGTGGAACTCCCTTCCATAAGACTTTCACCCAGTCTCCACTCCTTCAAGAAATCTTTGATAACACACTCAAATCAGGAAAGCATATTGTGGCAAAAGTAACCTCGCCACTTGTTCCTGGAGAGGACTAATGGCCAGCCTCTTGCCTTGTAACTATGGCGCTTGGGCTGTATTGCCCTTCAAAAGCTCTGTTTCTGCTTATTGGACCTTAAACTACTCTTTCTGCCCCTTTAAGTTACATGGGAGCAGTTCTGCAACTTTAAATTGGCACTTCAGACAGCCGAAGTGCCGAAGTAGTTGAAGTGGCCGCCATTCGATAAACACATGGCAGTGGCCATTTTAATTCAGCTGAATGCAGTCAGTGGTGTTTTGCCATTGAGTTCATGGAACTAAAATCAGATACTCGACGGCACGAACACCGCTGAAGTTTTACCTTCCCTGGAACTATCACATTCGAATGGAGTCGAATGGCGTTCGACTATTCGAACGCCACGTTAAAATGGGCTATTTGCATGAACGGCGCCCATTCGAATGGGACTTAGTCTCTTTTTCTATGTGAAATAGACTGACTGCACAGCCTAAATCTATGGAACTCTTTTGGGCAGGAAAGCCATGCTGGCGGTCGGTCAAATATGACTTCCATCTATCTTTTGAACCACTGGACCAAATTGTATGATTTTTGAATATGTTTGTATACTGATTATGCTGGTTCTGAATATGTAACTTATGGAAATTGCATGTATGGTTTGGAAGTTAGGAATATTGGGTAGAACTGTATATTTTCTGCCTGTGATAATTAAGTTAACCCATTGTGTTCAGTAATTATATCACAGGCAGAAGGGAGGGTTTGTGAGCCTTAGCTGGGAGCGTCTGACTGTACTGTTCTGTTTTGATTGGCTGATGTAACTGCATGTCCTGTGTACCACAGGGTCCACGTGGGCGGTAACCTTGTGGGAAAACCTGTATAAAAGAAAGTCCTTTGGTGCTCATTAAACAGACCTGCTTGACCCCTTCTTGAAGCCTTGGCTCATGTTTGGGGGATGGGATAACTGCACTCTTGGGGATTGCTATAATCACAATACTCCCCTGAGTATAAGCTCTTGTAAGAGCTTGTTCCTGCTATGCTCTCTAGAGTAGGAGAGGTTTACCCACTGGGAGCTGGATCCTGGTCTTGGGTCCTAGGTGGGTGGAGGACGGCGAGACCCAGCGCAGCTGCATCGCTGGAAGTGGGGTCTGCAGTACTTATGGTGTCTGGTGGAGTGCTTGCGGTCCTCGGCAAGTACTAGGAGCATCGATTGGCGGAGGTACAGCGGTCTGTCACACATATCTAAACTGTTAGCAGGTTTTCATACTCCCCCCACGACTTCTCTCCTGCAACAGTCAAAAATAACCTACTGAGTTCTCAGTGATTACTTTTCTAGCAACCTCTTTCATTATCCCTACTGCTAGAGGTATACCCTTTGTGTCACTATACCCTACTCCCTCTAGCATGCAAGCTCATTAAGCATATAAATGACTATATCGATTGGTAGGTTAATAGTATGACAATATAAAAATAGTTGGGGAACATATTTTACCATTTGTTCTCTCTGTCCCCTTCTAGCCTGAAAAGTTATGAGACCCCCCCGGCAAATCGCCAATTTTCACAGTTCAAGAGGATCAGTTCCTGAAGATCCAACGCTCCCTAGGAAAGATTCGGCGCCAAGACTTCGGTTACCTGCCTGTTTCTGGTGTTTCAGTTAATTTGTTGTTGTTATTAAGTATTAGCTTCGGCATCAACAGGAAAGAGGAAGAGATGGGGGTCACATGGGACTATATGATATGTGGACTGTTTCCATTGGCTAAGATATAATGATGTAATGGTTAACCCTGTGAGGGTATTTGTTCATTTTTTTTCTATACTACGAATACCTTAGCTTTCTTTGCTGCTGAGGAATAAAAGAAAGAGATAAGCCTAATATTCGCCTCCATTTCCTCATAAAATCATGACTTTACGTCATGTAATTAGTAAAATCTGGTAATTTTTTAACAAAGGCAAAGGTAATGTGAGGTGAAAGGTATTGCAAGGTCAAAAGTGTTATAAGGTTTCGTTAATAAAAGGACACTGTCATAAATTAAAAGCTAAGCGGTTTTAAACACAGATGCTGTTGTAAAGGACTTTTCTTTTCCTCAAAAACTGGTGAACCATAAAAAAAGCACAATATAGAGTTTGTGTGACTGAAGCTCTTTTAGCCGTAGGCTGCAGGCACTCCTGTATTAATAGGACAGAGGAAACAATTAACCTCACTTGGTTATAATTGTGAAAAACACGGCACTGCTTCTTTTGACTGCTGGCCTCCAACTCTATTTCATCTTCTTTTTTAAAATAATTTTTTTTAAAAACAAACATATTTTATAGTACATTGGATGATTTTATAATGTGGATATAAATATAGTAAATATTTGTCAGATAAAGCAATGTAAGGTGTCCACCTGCCTCATTGATCCCACTATCTTGCACCATATCTTTCTCTATAGGGTTTTATTTTCCATCCCTAATGAGAAAGCAATGAGTTCACTTCTACCTCTAGCGTCTTACCAAGTTTCCCCATTTGGTGCTACCGTCCTAAAAATGCGTCTCCATCTATGTACTGTCCAATTTTCTCAATGATAACAATAAAAACACAGTGACTAGTTATTGAATTACTGCTAAAACCAAACTCATTACTCTTATAATTGTCATGTACAGGAATTCACAGAGTCAGCACTGCCTAATCCAATTACCACCCCTCCTCACTGTCCCCAGTCCTTTAAGAAAAACCATAAAATTAATTTATTTAGAAAAACTTGTCTTTCTGGCTAGTTTTTCCACTTTCAACCAATCCTCCCTTCTCTCCTTACATGGCTAATGGTCATCAATCATCTTCACCTCTACACTCTTAACCCCTTACTGACCAGACCGCTTTTCAATTTTCTTACCGTTTGGGACCCGGGCTGTTTTTAAATTTCTACATTGTTTGTGTTTAGCTGTAATTTTCATCTTACTCATTTACTGTACCCACACATATTACATACAGTTTTTCTCGCCATTAAATGGTATTTCTAAAGATACCATTTTTCACCATATCATATAATTTACTATTAAATTTTAAAATATGATGAAAAAAAACAAACAGTTTTTCTAACTTTCACCCCCAAAATCTGTTGCGCATGTACAACCGCCAAAAAACACCCATGCTAAATAGTTTTTAAATTTTGTCCCGAGTTTAGAAATACCCAATGTTAACATGTACTTAGCTTTTTTTTGGAAAATTATAGGGCAATAAGTACAAGTAACACTTTGCTATTTCCAAACCATTTTTTTTTCAAAATGAACGCAAATTAAATTGTAACACTGATATCTGAATCCCTGAATAACCCTTCACATGTATATATTTTTTATAAACGAAGACAACCTAAGGTATTAAACTTGGGGTATTTTGACTCTTTTCATGCAACTATTTTACCACCAAATTATGCAAAATTTTAAGAATTTTTTTTTTTTATTGGTGATTATTTTGACACACACAGCAATTTAAGAATACATGTACTGAGAACTTTAATGGTTACTGCCAAAGAACACCCCAATATGTGTTCAGCAACATCTCCTGAGTACAGAGATACCACACAGGTATAGGTATATCAGGTCCTCTGGGGGCTAAAATACCTTATTTGAAAGGAGAGCATTCCAGTTTTCCAACTTGGAATTTTCACAGCTGAATATCATGCACCCATGTCCTATTTGGGATATTTTTGAGGCCGGACAATGTAATTTACCCCCATCAAACCATATATATTTTTTTTAAGTAGACAACCCACGGTATTCAGTATGGGGAGTGTCCAGTCTTTTTTAGTAGCTACTTAGTCACAAACACTGGCCAAAGTTAGCATTTATATTTGTTTGTTAGCTAAAAGTGCAGGGGGAGACTGTCTGGGCTGTCAGACAGTCCCCCCATAGAAGAACACTGATCGCCGGTGGAAGAACGGCGACGATTGGGTAAGTACATATGAAGGTAGAGGGAAGGGGTTAAATGTAGTTATTGCTTTTCATTTATTTTTGTAATTTTACTTATTTAATTTATTCTTCACTTATTCTTCGAGGGGTCGAGGCACTCAGCACAGGCAGCACATTGGAAGTCTGCCTGATGGCTTCTGATGCTCTGCCTCACTGCCGGACGCCAAGGGAGCGATCACCCAGCGGCCCGGCAGCGAGGGGGGTTTTGCACAATGCTTCGACATTGAGGCATTGCTGCAATACCGTTAGAGCGTCTGGAAGCGATCATGATCGCTTCTAGCACTCTAGTCGCAAACGTACCAGGTTTTGTCGGGCGTACCTGAGGTCACTAAGGGGTTAAATATAGACACTATAGTTACCAGAACAACTACAGCTTAATGTTGTTCTGGTGAGTATCATCATTCCCTTCAGGCATTTTCAAACAAACACTGCGTGTTCAGAGAAAAGGCAGTGTTTTCATTGCCCGTAGGGATATGTTTTCTGGCCACTCCTCAGATGGTTACTGGAGGTGCTTCCTGGGGCAGTGCTGCACAGTAGGCAGCACTGCAGTTCAGCGTTTCTACGCTCTGCATTTAGAGCTGAATTTTCCTCATAGAGATGCTTTGATTAAAAAAAACTGTGTTTGGCCCCACCCCCATCCCGCTTCCTTTCCTATTTCAGCAAATGCATTGGATTGGCTAAAAATGATAAATTCTGGTGATGTCACCAAGGAGGTGGGTCGGAGCAGAGCCAGCACCGGAGGACCTACGCAGCGCTGGAAATAAGTAATGTTTTAAGCCCTTCTATGGGGGTTAAGCCACCTAAATGGTGGTTTTAACACTATAGGGTCAGGAATACATGTTCCTTTAACCTCCTACTTTACAGCTCTCCTTCAAACTTATTGTATCTTTCACAAATTTAGCTAGGTCTGAGTATCATTGCTATTTCTCTCTGACATGTTGTTCTTCCTCTGTGTTTTTAACCACCTTCCTCCTAAAATGTAAGCTTGTCTAAGACAGTACTTCCACTACTTGTCCTGTTCACATACTTTGTCATTTATTTGTTGTTTTATATCCCCATTGTAAAATTGTGGATTACACTGGAGCTATGAGAATTATATTAACCCCTTAACAAACGCATGAAAGAGTTAAGCTTAAAATCATTCATTAAAAGTACCAGCAGGGTTAAATGCCTGATAGTACCGGCGGGTCTACTCTGTCAGCTGAGGCCATAATTCTCCCAGACAGTCAGATGAGCTATGTGCAGCGCTCATGGCCCTTTAAATTAATTCAAAAACTTATTTTAAGTATGCATCAAGTTTGAGGGAGACCCCAGGGTCTGAAAACATCCTGGGGAGGTCTCCCAGCATGCCTCTCAACCAGTGATCGCTGCTGGCCTTTGCCAGCTGCCCAGCACCGATCACAGTTTCAGGAGCTGCAGCATGAGATGAAATGTATGAAATCCACACTCCACAAATCACACAGTACACTCTGTGTTGTGTGAGCTGGGAAATCGTTCTGCTTGTCTCAGGTAATCCCTCACAGGTATGTATGATTATAGGAAGGATTAGAAGTTGGACTATTGGTAGTGTTAGGGATTGTAACAGGGGAAAAGGACTAGACGTGGGGTATCATTGTACTTGAGAACAGAAGCAGCATACAAATATGGGTTGTTTTCTGTAGTTTGACATGTGTGGTCTGTGAATTTCCCCAAAATAAGACACATGATAATAAAATAAAACCAGTAAATATTTTGACTGAGCTTTGTGAGAAGTTGGTTAAATGAAAAGTGTCAATATGCTCTTAGTTTAATAGCCTGGGGGATGTTCTTTCTACAAATGTATGCTTTTGTGTAGCGGTTTTGGATCTTGTGACTAGCATAATATGGTGTAATCTCAGCATGCCAAACTTTTTGCTTTAAAACAGTAATTTTCTCCTTCTAATATTTGTTTATAACTTTTATAAAATTGTATTGAAATCCTAGACATATTGGGCATTTTAACAATCAGGATTAATTAGTGATCCATTCTGAGTTTATTTTCTTTAGTTGCACTTGTGTAGAAATTACTACATATAAAACTGAGAAAATGTTTATTTTTAAATATCTTTTTCATTTTTTTTATATTTAATATAGTGTAATATATGTGTGTATATCTATATATATCTATAGGGTATCAAAAGAAAGTCATAGTTATCCTTTAAAAATGATATAGAATATGTATTGGTGCACTTAAAGGGACTCTCTAGTGCCAGGAAAACAATCTGTTTTCCTGGCACTGCAGGTCCCCTCTCCCTCCCAACTCCCATCCCCAGTTGCTTACTTAACTGAGACCCCCGCCGATGTCCCTCGGCGGTGGTTTCGGGTCGCCACCGCCCCTCCTCTTCATTACGTCGGCCGGTGGCCAAGACTGATCCCGCCGGCCGGCTGCGGAGACCTAATGCGCATGTGCGGCAATGACGCGCATGCGCATTTGAGCTCTCCATAGAAAAGCATTGAAAATGCTTTTCAATGCTTTCCTATGGGGAATTGAGCGACGCTGGAGGTCCTCACACAGTGTGAGGACGTCTAGCGACGCTCTAGCACAGGTTTTCTGTGCTATGGACCAGGAAGTGCCCCCTAGTGGCTGTCTAGTAGACAGCCACTAGAGGTGGAGTTAACCCTGCAAGGTAATTATTGCAGTTTATAAAAAACTGCAATATTTACACTTGCAGAGTTAAGAGTAGTGGGAGTTGGCACCCAGACCACTCCAATGGGCAGAAGTGGTCTGGGTGCCTGGAGTGTCCCTTTAAACAGAAAGGGGGAATCAACACATAGCAAAAAGACCTTGGTCACAAACATGTTGCATCTCAAAAGAACCTTTGTCTTTAAGGGGTAATACTACTTTAATTAATATTGCTGAGGGACAGAACAGCGTGTGCCCTGTATTATACATGGACTTAAAGTGAACCTCTTAGGACATGTTCATCTTATCAGATAGCAGCTCCTAAAGCAAAGAATATCAAATTTATCATAAAAATAAATTGTACATTATTGCTAGGGGAATAATCACATGTACTGACATTTTTGAGATAGAGAGCAACCTTGTAGGGTTCTCATGCTCTCCCATGTCTATTAGTTCTCAACAACAAGCAAATCCACTGCAATAGAGCATAATTACAGCCATACATGGACTGAGTGTGTTACCAAGAAAATTTAAATAACCTAATGAACGGCAGACATCTAGTTGTTGGATTACCTGTTTAGCACCAAGAACCAAGATAAATTTGATGTGTTTACACTCATTAATGTAAGCCTTATGTCTGTGAAGCTCTGTTATTTGAACCAGGGCAGGAGATTTTCATACAAGAAAGGTATTGCCCTTAGAAAATGGTACCCCTAAGACATACGTGCCCATTAACCTGACCACACACACTATAAAAATAATCCACACATGAAATAGTCCTAGGAAGTATTTATAACAATGAGCATAACATATCCACAGCTTTGATTTTGTTTTTTTTTAAAAATACAAAGATTATGGTATTCAACTTTATCTGTTTCCTGTTTCAAAAATAATCTAAAAGCATTTAAAAAAATAAAGATTTTTTTTTAGCACCTTTAGAAGTATGAGGGATTTATTTGCTCACTTTTCTGACATTATTGTGCATTCCCAGATGCACACATTTTATATGTAACATCCATGACGGTATGGATACCCAACAGACTACAGCTTATCCACAGCACCATTTACCAGAGGATCCAGGACATACAAAAACATTTTCTCCAAAAAACAAAAAAAAAAAGGCAGAATGATTCATAATATCATAGCATTGTGTACCACAGTGCACACACAGCATCTTTCTCCAGAGAGCATAGAATGCATTGGTACACCACACACATTTCCTAAAGTATAAATTGCATATTGCATAGCTCTATAAAAATGCGGTAATATTTAATCCTAGTTATAATTAACAAGTATTTTCTTTTCTTGCATTTTTTTCAAGAAATCAGATCTACAGGTGCTTAATTATTTGCAGCTGTGCTTAATTCTTAAAATGTAATTGTTCCTAAACAAAAATAAAGAAAAAAAACAAAAAACAAAAACTTGGCTAGTGTTAGAAGGAGAAGGAAGAGGGTGTAGAGACACTAGGCTACGATAAAATAAAAACAGCTGTAATATCATATCAATATCATCTGCTTTGCTTTCCACTGAATCTAGAACTCTCAGGGGAGAACATTGCTCAGAAAGGATGGGCCACTGGAGCACAGGTGATGGGCTTTTAAGATTTGCTTCTCATTTCTTTTTTTCAGACCAAGTCTAATAAATATTTTGATGTAGTGTGTCATACAGAGAATAAGGAAACAGTAGTTTACAAGAAAATTAAATGCATGTATAATGTGTGTGTGTGTAACTAATAGTGGTTAAATATAATAAAAAAGAGACTATTCCACCAATAGGATGCAAATAGACTGAAGGTGTTGGGTACTTGCTCTACACCTTTCATAAAGCTGCACTGGAAGAGCACTCATGAGTTTATTTACTCTGAGGCCATATAGGTTTTGGAAACCATGTGATCCAGCAAAGACTGGACTTTCAGTAGAAGACAGTACAACTAGAATCAAAAGGGATCTAGTCAGATTCTCAAGACATTTTGGAGTTGCAACCTCTTCAAGGATGTTAAACTACACTTGGCAGAAGGTTATCGAGCCAAGTTAGGGAATAGCTCACACAGTGTATCGAAGTGATTTAACCCCATAGAGACTGGGACAGTAAAACCACACTTAAGAGTTCAGTTGAAAGCAGCTTCATACACTCTTTGGTCTCCGGACAAAAGAGGAAATCTTGGGAAGTCCGTGTGCAGCCTCTGTTAAAATTAGCACAGATGTTTTATGTGCTTCTACTTCTGGACGGAAGACATAAAGCTGTTTTCGATACATAGGACAATAAAGTTCTTGCTACAGCTCTGTGGATTCTGTTCCAGGAGCTTTCCGTTGCGTAAAGATGAAGCATGGCCAGTCACTGCACTTTCATCTGTACGCCAGGTTTCACAGTAACTCTCTGTTAATCGTCGACCTTTGGAATCAGATCCATGCCAAATCATCTTCTGTGGCCTAAAGGAGAGAGATATGATTAGAGGTCTGCCAAATAGAATGTGCATGAAATGAAAGGCCATCCAGTGTTTGCAGAATAATTTAACCAATCTTGTATACTATTAAAGTTAATCACCCCCTATATGTTGATGACACCCAGATATGACTCTCCTCTGATCTCTCTCCCACCCTTCCTGAAAGTGTCACAAGCTGCTTCTTTCCCATCTGCAAATTGATGTCTTCTTGCTTCCAGAAGCTCATTCTTTCTAAAATTGAGCTTCCTATCTTTCCTTCTTATAAACCTAATCCTGCTCTTTAACTTTCCATGCAAGACTATAGTAAACCCATCAGCTTTTAAGCTCCCTGTAATTTTCATCTAAAAACATTGCCCACATTTTGTCCTTTCTTTTGGAAAATGCTACTAAAGAGCTTGTTCGTGGTCTTAGAATTTCCTGGATCGATTATGCAACACATATTGCATCTCTACAGTTCATAACGAATGCTGCTGCCAGGCTTATTTTTCTCTCTCATAACTTTTCTCCTACCTAACCCCTTAAAAAAAATTATTACACTGGTTTCTGTATATTTTAGGTGTAAATTCAAGACAAAGGTCTAATCAACTCTACCTCCATTGCATTTGTTCACTAATTCACAGGTACACCTCTTCTCTGTCACAGAGCTCTAGTCCTTCATTGACACCGATACTGATTATTCTACCAACAGCATGACTTCCCCATCATACTTTCACCTAGCCTTCAATCCTTTAGGAATTTCATTAAAACCCATCTCTTAACAAGATATTTGAAATATTCCTACCAAGAAGAATCTGTAAGAACATCCCTTCCATCAAATGAGAAAATACGAGCTCCTGGTGTCATTTGAGCCTCTGAACCAGAGAACAGTGACTCCCAGTTATTGAAAAGCTGATCATCCTGCGAGGAAACAAATATTATATGTTGATGTTGGTTATCTCTTACACTACATAATGCATTATATGGTAGCAGTTTGCAGGAAACACTCTGTTATACACATATCAGATGTTATATTAAATGAACACTATAGTCACCTAAATTACTTTAGCTTAATAAAGTAGTTTTAGTGTATAGATCATTCCCCTGCAATTTCACTGCTCAATTCACTGTCATTTAGGAGTTAAATCACTTTGTTTCTGTTTATGCAGCCCTAGCCACACCTCCCCTGGCTATGATTGACAGAGCCTGCATGAAAAAAAAACTGGTTTCACTTTCAAACAGATGTAATTTACCTTAAATAATTGTATCTCAATCTCTAAATTGAACTTTAATCACATACAGGAGGCTCTTGCAGGGTCTAGTAAGCTATTAACATAGCAGGGGATAAGAAAATATCAATTAAACAGAACTTGCAATAAAGAAAGCCTAAATAGGGCTCTCTTTACAGGAAATGTTTATGGAAGGCTGTGCAGGTCACATGCAGGGAGGTGTGATTAGGGTTCATAAACAAAGGGATTTAACTCCTAAATGGCAGAGGATTGAGCAGTGAGGCTGCAGGGGCATGTTCTATACACCAAAACTGCTTCATTAAGCTAAAGTTGTTCAGGTGACTATAGTGTCCCTTTAAGTTTTGGAGAATTTTTCTTAATGATAGTCTTACTTACCCTAAGATTGACAATCGGTACAGTCTGTCTGTCAGCTCGGCGTACTATGCTGTAGAGATCTTGAAGACGTGAAGAAAGGAATGCTCGGTATGTGCCTTGTAGTCCAGCTTTGCGGGCTTGCTCAAAGCACTGGAAGTCCACTCCACGAATGGAACGCATGCTGCCACTTAGTGGAGCATTCAGAGCAACCAGATGTAACTAAAACAACAACGTACAAAAAAAAATATTTGTATAGATAATGTCAAACAGGCTACTAAGAAGTCTATTCATCTCATAACACTCTTCTTCAGCTTACCGCAGCTTGGAACTCTTGGTGTGTGTGCACAGGAGATGGTGGTGTTCTTTCTTGTTCTGGTTGTCGCTGGGGAACTTGAGGTGGCTGCTGTGGTACTTGAGGTGGCCGCTGAGGCACCTGAGGTGGCTCAGCTCTTGGAGGTTCATTCCAAGGAGAATGCACATTTTGTTCCCTATTGTTTTCAGGATTCTGAAAGTATTCAGAGTCTTTGTTGCTTGGATAATGGATCACAGGAGGCTGTTCCACAGCAACTTCATTACCCTGCAGAGGATACATTATGGTCACTCAACAATGTACATGAGTGTTAACACAGAGGACAAAAAATTTCAACTTACCAGTCCAGGCACAGCAGGATATTGGTCTTCAAGCTACAAAAAAAAAATTAAATATATATAATCGTAAATTATCCAAAACATAAATGACACTCATATATTTCAAACTATTCAACACAAGCCTAAATAGGAAACAATTAGAGCGATCAGCTGCTAAAACTCACTCTCCTGCACACAACACAACTACATTAATATTATGGGCTTACAAAGAACACTTCCTTTCATCCAATGTCCTGGCATGAAGAGTTAACATATCAAACAAAACGAATGACTTGCTCCTGCCATTGTTCCCATATCCTCCATGTATTCTCTCCTATCCCAACCCGGATTTGATTCGATTGCGCGAGGGAGGCTTTGATATCAGACAAGGTATTTTCTGATTTATAATGGGGGGACGTAATTATAAATGCCCAGTAGGGCATTCTAAATTGAAATAGCAGAATTAACAAGTATTGCTGGAGTAACCCTTTAAGGAACACATTTTCAAAAGTTTGCTGATCTATCCTTACAATTCATTTTTAAAAATAATATAATTTTCTACTAAAGTGGAAGACTCACCAGAATTTTTCTGAACCCGTCTCTCACGCGTACATATAGCTCTGTCTTCTCCAGTACTAGCACAATGGTCCCTTCTTGCATCCTATGCGCCAAATTGAGCATTGTTTGATAGGTTTGCAGCACTTGAACCTATGAAAAATAGAAGTACAAATTAAAACACA